TTTTTTTTTGTGCATTGATGTGGGTTTAGATTGACATGAGGATGAGTTCATGATGACAGGGTTGAGTGATTCTTTCTGCTGTCTGCTGGGATGAATGCTGGAGCTGCAGTTAAAGTCTCCTCAGAGATCAATAAACACTGTGTGCTGAAACCAGTGCTAAAACACAGTAAATCATCTGATGAGATGCACACATGAGCTCTGTGATGTCAGGACACGAGTGCAATTGTGTGATCATGTTTGTCGAACACTTTCCTTGTGTTGCATGAAGGTTATGGAGCAATTCCTCATCAGATTCAGTGTTTTATTCCTTGTTTATAGGGACCTTTGATCAATACTCACTGTGTGTGTGTGTGTGTGTGTGTGTGTGAGTGAGTGAGTGAGTGTGTGTGTGTGTGAGAGTGTGAGTGTGTGTGTGTGAGTGTGTGTGAGTGTGTGTGTGAGTGTGTGAGATCATTTTCTCTGATTCATGCCAGATAAAAGTCAGAAAGATGAACAGGAGAAACACAAATGTACAAACCCCTTTCATCTCGTTTGTCTCTGAGAACACATTAAAGCCCTGAATGTTCCTCATGTGTGAGAAGAGTATTATACTGAGAGCATTATCTCTTGCTTTTTATTCTTTATTCTAAAATGGTCCACTATTAAATCAACTCATGCTTCCTGTACAGACAATTTAATTTTGTAATCATTTCAGACTTAGATCTTAATCATAATGAGTATTCATATCAGATTCTTAAACAGTATTATTGTAAAAATATAAATTTTTAACTATAGAAACAATAGTTGCTTTTTTTTTTAAATGGATAAATAAATAAACTTCATGCCTGTTCAAAAATGTGAAAAAAAAGTAAAATAAAAATAAAATCTTGTGACAGTGGTGACGTCTTTTTAGTTGCTTATTAAATTATAGAAAAAAAATATATATTTTTTATTTAATCAATGAAAAAACAACCTTTTCAGTCATAATGTGGGATTCAATGACACACCAAATTTTAACCTGAAACCTGAAATTGTTAAAGGTGACATATCATGAAAATCTGACTTTTCCAGGTTTTAAGTGCTATAATCAGGTCCCCGGTGCATCTACCAACCAAGGAAACGTGAGAAAGATTAACCCAGTAACTTTGTTTTGGGAAGCCTTTTTCTGCAAGCGTCTGAGAAAACGAGCGCGTCTGATTTAGCTCCCTTGGTGACGTGGCAAAGGGATCTCATTAAAATATTACCGCCCCTTAATCTGTAAGTTTGCACCCATGGCGCCTTCATTTTGATTTCGCAAGCGACAATGGTGTACCAGTTCTAATGCCATGGAGAAAGTTTGAGCAAAACCTGCTAACTGTTCAGTGG